GGCATGGTAGCACGCGCCTATAGTTCCAGCTACTTGGAAGGCTGAGGCGGAAGGATCGCTGGAGCCCAGCAGATCGAGGCTGCGGTGGCCGGGAGTGTGCCTCTGCACTCCAGTCTGGGTGACAGAATGAGAATCCAACTCAAAAAGTAAAAAATAACAAATAAAAATTAAAAATATTACTTTTGTTAAAGAAACATGTTACTAAACTAATTTATATGCTAATAACTATATTTCAATACAATGATTTTTTTTGTACAATGATCCTATGTGTAATAAAGAGACTCATGGTACAAAATGAATCAAGACCTTTGATGTTCAAATCCTACAAAACAAAGATCCTATTACTCCTTTTTGGTTGTGCAAAGACTGTGTGTGTGTGAGAGAGGTCTGCACACTGGTCTAATGTCATAAATTCTAGAATGACACTTTCATGTGTGCTAGATGCCAGGAGGGGAGAGTAGGGTCACCTATGGCTACAGGAGGAGAGTCTGTTTAGGAAGATTGCTCACAGCAGAAACCATCTGTGCTCTGCCTAATGCCATCTTATAATTTCTGCAATATACATTCAGCAAATAGTGAGTGCCCTCTTGTAGGCATTGTCTTTAGGCACTAGAGGATATACAGTGAACCAAAAAGGACAGAAACCAGATCTTTGAGGGGTCAATTCCTAGTGGAGCTTGGACTTTTTGTAGGACTTTTCCTACAAGAAGCCATCTCCAACCAGGCTCGGTGGCTCAGCCTGTAATCCCGCACCTTGGGAGGCTGAGGTGAGTGGGTTGCCTGAGCCCAAGGGTTCGAGACCCACCTGGGCAACTTGGTGAGACCTCATCTCTACAATAAATAAAAATTAGCCGGGTGTGGCAGCATGCCCCTGTAGTTCCAGCTACTTGGAAGGCTAAGGCGGAAGGATCACCAGAGCCCAGCAGGTCGAGGCTGCAGTGGCCGGGTGTGGCCACTGCACTCGTCTGGGCAACACAGAGATTACAACTCAAAAAAAAAAAGAAGCCATCTCTGTTTTGAACTCATGAAAACATCCTGTTATAACTACATGTAACTACTGTAAATACAGTAGATGACACACACATACTTTTCCTATTCAAGAATATATTTCACCTCCCCAACTAGACACCAAGTTTATGTGCAAAGGATCTGTTTACCTTCCTTTTATAATTTCTGAAAAGAGAATAATGTGCATAGGAGTTAACAGAATGAGTTTAACATTGTTTGTAAAGGTTACTATAGTGCCCAGCACGTAAAAGTATGTAAGTATTTATTATGATCTTACCAATCCTAAATGTAAATGATTTAGTCAAAAAAAAAAAAAAAAAAAGAGAGAGGACCAACCAGGAGCCAGGGGTCCTTGTTCCCTCAGGCAATTGGAACCCAAGTAAAACACCAAGTTGACCTGGGAGGGCCTGGATATGCCAGTACTTACCAAAAGTCCGGTGGAGATTCTCTGAAAGAGAGACAAATAGAAATGGCCTTAGGAGGGCCTCAAAAAGGATCCTTTCTCCTCCAAGTCTTTGTTATTGAATTGCACACGACAGAGAAAGGGAGACCATAGGCAGCACAGGGTATTGGGAGAGAGGCAGAGCTGGTCTGAAAGCATGACCATTTCAGTTATGCCAAAAATTCAAAAGAGAAGAACCGGAAGAGAGGATGGCTAGAACTCACCTATCTCTGCACGGAGTTTTCCTAAAATAGAAAATGACATTTTAGTTCCTGCTCTGCACTATGTGGGGACCCTTCCACACCCAGCACCCAGGCCTCTCTTTGTACAGGCTATTTCTCTGCAGCCCAGGAGTGTCCTTAGAAGAGTGGGAAGAGCATTGGATTTGGAGCCCAGAGTTAAGGCTCTTGCTCTGGCTATTGTCTAGATTAAATTGGTGGAATAAAGAATCTCAAGAACATGGCCAGGTGTGGTGACTCAAACCTATAATCCTAGCACTTTGGGAGGCAGAGGCAAGAGGATTACCTGAGTTCAGGGGTTTGAGACCAGCCTGAGCAACCTGGCGAGACCTTGTCTCTACGATAAATCAAAAAATTAGTCAGGCATGGTGGCATATGCCTGTGATTCCAGCTACTTGGAAGGCTGAGGCAGAAGGATCACCTGAGCCCAGCAGGTCGAGGTTGTGGTGACCATGAGCATGCCACTGCACTCCAGCCTGGGCAACAGAGTGAGACTCTGACTCAAAAAAAAAAAAAAGAAAAGAAAAGAAATCCCAAGAATAATGTCCCAAACCAATGTAAGGTTCTGCTACCTCTCCTCTTCTCTATTCCTTGTCTTGAGTTCTCTGTTCACATTGCGCGAGTTCTCTGTTCACATTGCGCTCTAACCCACTGGGTTGCCACTTTATAAATCTAAAGTCACTTTCTATCTGAATGGGGAGGGAGGAATATTTCGTGAGCAGCAACTTTGTGACTGGATCTGTATTGGGCACTTTACATGAAATTATTCCCTTTAATCCTCCCTATAATTTAGGAGGGAGGATATGTTCACTATGTGACAGACAAGACAACTGAGGCTTGGAGACCTACGAATTTTGCTCAGAGTTCAGTGCCTGAGATGGGATTCAAACCCAGGTTGCCTAACTCTAACATTCATGTTTTTTCTGCTTAGCCATGTGAGCTAAAGGCCTTTTTCTTTTTCTTTTCTTTTTTGTTTTTGTTTTTTGAGTCAGAGTCTCACCCTATTGCCCAGGCAGGAGTATAGTGGCATGCTTATGGCCACCACAGCCTCAACCTGCTGGGTTCAGGTGATCCTTTCACCTCCGCCTTCCAAGAAGTGGAACTACAAGTGCGTGCCACCACACGCAGCTAATTTTCTGATTTATTGAAGAGACCAGGTTTCGCCATGTTGCCCAGGATGATCTCGAACCCCTGGGCTCAGGCAATTCTCTTACCTCAGTCTCCCAAAGTGCTGAGATTACAGGCGTGAGCCACCACACTCAGTTAAAGGCCTTTTTCATGTGGAAGGAGGTAGCCAAACATCTGGGATGAATTTAGGGAGAGAGAAAACACCCCATTGTTGCCCTCTCACCTCACATGTCTCAAACCCTCCTTGCAGCTTTCTCAGTAACAAATAGAAGGTGGAGGGTGGGGAAGGGTGAAGATGCTTCCTGCTTTGTCAGTGGGGGAACACCTGGTGGGAGGGGGAAAGGCTCAGAATGGAAGCACAAAAGAGAAACTTCATGGACAGCTGAATCTGAGTTCTCAGCGTTAAATAGAAAAGGAAGAAATGGGCCAGGTGTGGTGGCTCATGCCTGTTAATCCTAGCACTTTGGAAGGCCAACGCAGGAGGATTCCTTGAGCCTAGGATTTTCAGGCCAGCTCGGGCAACAAAGCAAGACCTTGTCTCTACAAAAAAGTAGACAGATATGGTGGCGTGTGCCTGTAGTCCCAACTATTCAGGAGGCTGAGGCAGGAGGATTGCCTGAGCCCAAAAGTTTGAGGCTGCGGTGAGCCATGATTGTATCACTACACTCCAGTCTGGATGACAGTAAGAAGTCAACTCAAAAAAAAAACAAACAAACAATTTTTGAACACCTGCTATGTGGTAGAGATTTTACTTTAGTATCTTTATATAAAACTCTAATAGCTCAGACCTCTCTGACCTTGAAGCTCACAAGGTCCTGTTGCATGGAGCTGCTGGATATGACACAGGAGCCTGAGCTCTATCACTTGCAAGCTGTGTCAGTTTGAGTAAGTCACTGAACCACTCCTGGCCTCAGTTGCCTCCTCTGTGAAATGAAGTCATTAAATGCCATGCTTACTTCATAGGGAAATGCAAGGTCCTATTATTCATGTGAAAGCAATCAGTGAGATATAAAACTTGTCATCAGGGTGTCCTGAACCCAGAAGTCACTAAAAAATTAATGTTAACTGACCTAGCTCCAAGAGGTCAGGTCATTTTAGGGAAGGATCCTGACCTGCCCACCTTCTGCCCCATACCTCTTAGTCTGTGCTGCAGGCAGAGGAAGAGGAGGCCCACAGCGATCTGCAGGAGGAGCACAGGTAGCACAGCGATGACAATCAGCACGCCAGGGCTGACCCAGTAGAAGGGATCTGAAAGGCAGAACAGATATTGTCGAGAAAGTACTACATCCTCAAAGCCCAGCACGGTGCCTGGGGACTCGGGTTGAATAAAGGAATGAATATCACCAAGATTCAAATAAGGTGACACAGAATTGATACCTGAGCTTAGCCTTGAAGGAAAAATGCATTTGTTTCCAGGAAGTGCCAGTGGTTTAGAATGACAAGTGGTTTAAAGTAAAGATTGTGTATTAGGCCAGGTTTGAGGAGATTTGAGGACCAGGGAAGGGACTTGAATCTGATCCTCAAGGCCATGGGTTGCACTGAAGTGTTCCAAGGTGAGGATTCATAAGATCAGATTTACCAACTGCAGAGCTGGAGGAGAGAGGGAGGTCAGTTAAGAGGCCATAGTAACAGTTAAAGTAAAAATCCACATGAGCCTGAGCTAAGACAGTGGGAGTGGTATAGGAAATCAAGGAATCCATCATCTTAAATGGATATTCATTTTCTGTAACTTTAAAACAGAAATGTAGTGTTTCTTTTTTTTTTTTGGAGTTGGAGTCTCACTCTGTTGCCCAGACTGGAGTGCAGTGGCTGCTCCCCGCCACTGCAACCTCAACCTGCTGGGCTCCGGCGATCCTTCTGCCTCAGCCTTCCAAGTAGCTGGAACTACAGGTGCGCACTACCACGCCCGGCTAATTTTTGATTTATTGTAGAGATGAGGTCTCGCCAAGTTGCCCAGGCGGGTCTCAAACCCGCGGGCTCAGGCAATCCACTCACCTCAGCCTCCCAAAGGCACTGGATTACAGGTTGAGCCACCGAGCCCAACTAGAAATATAGTGTTTCTTTTAAGTATGTTTATAGGCAATACACCACAATAATATTAATGGAAACTTTGACTTTGCCATTAATGAAAATCACAAATATTTTCATATCATATTAGAAGTAGTTGCCCCAGAAATCTCAAAATATCACTTATGTTCATCACTATTTTGAAATTAAACTAATTATTAGGGCCACCCTATGTCTTGTTGTTTTAATATTTTGAGATCTGCATTTCAGCACAAATGTTTTATCTTGTTTATTTATTTTTATTTATTTATTTATTCTGAGTTGAAGTCTCACTCCGTTGCCCAGGTTGAAGTGCAGTGGCACATAAAACCGCCACCCCAGCATCAACCTGCTGGGCTCCAGCGATCCTTCCATCTCAGCCTTCCAAGTGGTCGGAACGATAAGCGTGCGCTAACACGCCTGGCTACTTTTTGTTTTATTGTAGAGACGAAGTCTTGCCAAGTTGCCCAGGCTGGTCTCAAACCCGCGGGCTCAGGCAACCCACTGGCCTTGACCTCACAAAGTGCTGGGATTACATATAGGCTGAGCCACTGAGCCGCCTATCTGATGTATTTATTTTATTTTTATTTCTATTTTTATTTTTGAGTTGAAGTCTCACTCTGTGGTTCAGACTGGAGTGCAGTGTCACGCTCCCGGCCACCGCAGCCTCAACCTGCTGGGCTCCGGCGATCCTTCCGCCTCAGCCTTTCAAGTAGCTGGAAATACAGGTGCGCGCTACCATGCCTGGCTAATTTTTGATTTATTGGAGAGATGAGGTCTTGCCAAGTTGCCCGGGTGGGTCTCGAACCCACGGGCTCAGGCAATCCACTCACCTCGGCCTCCCAAAGTGCTGGGATTACAGGCTGAGCCACGGAGCCCGGCCTTCTTATGTATTTAAAACACTCTTCCGCCAGGCACGGTGGCTCATGCCTGTAATACCAGCACTTTGGGAGACTGAGGCGAGAGGACTACCTGATCCCAGGTGTTTGAGACCAGCCAGAGCAACTTGACGAGATCTCATCTCTACAATAAATTTAAAAAAAAAAATTAACTGGGCATAGTAGCACATGCCTGTAGTTACAGCTATTTGGAAGGTTGAGACAGAAGGATCTCATGAACCCAGCAGGTTGAGGCTGTGGTGGCCATGATTGTTCCACTGCACACCAGCCTGGGTAACAGAGTGAGACTCCAACTCAAAAACAAAACAAGACAAAACAAACAAACAAAAAAACCCCTACTCTTCTGAGAAGGGGTTTATCAACATCACCAGTCTGCCAAACAAGTTCATGACACACGAAAAAGGTTATAGGAACCCACTTCTGGAGCTTTTGAGAAGGTAAAATCCACAGGATTTGGTGACTGACTAGATGTAAAAAAGGATGGACAATGCTAGAGGAATGGCCTTTACCTCTTTGGCTCTCATCTATTTTCCATTCTCCATCTTCCCCTCAGCATCCATGAGCTCTGTTCTAATTTCTATGCACTATGCTTCAGCTGAAGCCCTTTTCATCTTGTGTCTGCTTTAGGGGGTCTAAATATGGATATTGTCATCAAAGATAGACATAAGTCACAGCTAGTGACATTAACAAACTAGTCAGAGAGTGGATAGTTAAATATAATTGCAATCCTTTAAGTTGCAGACTGAGGCTCTTTTTTTTTTTTTTGAGTTGGAGTCTCACTCTGTCTCCCAGGCTGAAGTGCAGTGACACGCTCACGGCCACCACAGCCTCGACCTGCTGGGCCCAGGTGATCCATTCACCTCAGTCTTCCAAGTAACAGGAACTATAGGCTTGCATCACCACACCCCACTAAGTTTTTTGGTTTATTGTGGAGATGAGGTCTCACCAAGTTGCTTAGGCTGGTCTTGAATCTGTTGGCTCAGGCAATCCTCTCACCTCTGCCTCCCAAAGTGCTGGGATTACAGGCATGAGCCACCATGCCCACAAGGTTGTATTACTGTGTTCTCCAGAATATGCAACACACTTGACTTTCAAGTTCTTATTGGAACTTACCTGTAGCAATATGATTTAATGGGTGCACACCACATTCAAGAGTTTTTTCTTTTACCATGAATATTTAGTTTCACAAAGGATTCAGAAAAAAAGAGAAAAACAAGTATTATAAGCCTCCTGTTATAAAGCAACAAGAAATTTAGAGCATCACCTATGAAGTATACTTGCCAGAATAAACCTGAATCTGATTGCACCTCCAGATCGATTGGTTTACAGGAAATACAGAGCACAGAGGACTGTGTTGAACAGCAACATAGGAACAGAGTCAGCAAAATTCAGACCATGGGAAACCCTAAGGGCAAACACCAATGTGTGGCTCCTGTTTGGAGCTCATCCAAACAAATCAATTGTCAAAGTATAATTATAAAACAATCAGGAAAATTGGAACACAGGCTGTGTATTTGATAATATTAAGACATTTTTAGGCCGGAGGCCAGGTGTCATGACTCACTCCTGTAAACACAGCACTTTGGGAGGCCAAAGCAGGAAGATTGCTTGAGCCCAGGAGTTTGAAGCTAGTCTGGGTAACATGGTGAGACTTTATCTCTACAAAGAATCAAAAAAATTAGTTGTGTGTGGTGATGTGCTCCTTTAGACCCAGCTACTTGGGAGGCTGAGGTGGAAAGATTGCCTGAGCCCAGGAGGTAATTTTAAATGAACAGCTTTAAGAAAGGATTTGAGACAAGTAGTAATAAAATCATAAGGACAAGAAAAGAATACTGGTAAATCAAAAAGAGAGATTAGGCCCAGTGCCTGGCTCACATCTATAATCCCAGCACATTGGGAGGCCAAGGTGAGAGGATTGCCTGAGTCCACGGGTTCCAGACCAGCCTGGGCAACTTGGTGAGCCCGCAT